ATGAGAACCAATTTAATATTAAACCAGCTTAAGGATTCATATAAAACTGCTACTCCCCGGTAGGCTTTGCTGGAACCAAAACGGGGGCAGGACAGTCAAGGACAATCCAACAACAACGTCTCTCTCTCTCTCTCCGTCCGGCAACAGCTGCTACACAAAGTGGCAGAAACATCACAGGTCATCATCCGTTCATTGGCACCGTTTCTAAGGGATCTATTTTCTTCCTACCTTTTTGGCACGTTAGTCTTTCTTTAAGGCATTTTGTGCTGGGAATAAAAAAAAGAAAACCTCAAGAAACTGGTTGTGTGTGTGAGGGAGGGTGATGTGGAAGAGGAAGGGAGGGGGGAGAGAGAGAGAGAGAGAGAGAGAGAGAGAGAGAGAGAGAGAGAGAGAGAGAGAGAGAGAGAGAGAGAGCAAGCAAGGAAGGAAGGAAGGAAGGAAGGAAGGTGATGCCAAGGTATCCTGCAGTTTTCTATCTGACTGCAGGGCAAAGATACAGCTCCTCTCTGTATGATTTTCTTTACACACACACACACACACACACACACACGCAGGCTTTGAACAGCGGTTCCCTGGATGCTACAGTAACCCGGGTTATTCACTGTAAATCCACACACACACTCAGCATAGAAAACCACACGCAGGTTATAAGGTGCTTCTGAAGGATTTCGGTGTTGTACTATCGGAGCGAAGGTCTTGATCTCGGGACCCACACCCAGTTTGTAAACCTACGTACATGTCTATTCTATTCTTACATCTGTTTTGTTCCTCACCAACTCCAGAGGGAAATGTCTATTTAGCTGCATAACAGTATATGTGTATTTTAAAACCATAAATTGACAAATGTCAAACGTAAACTGGTTAGAATTCAAGAATTTCTATCCTCTTTTCCATCATGCTTCCCTTGCCCTCTCTCAGCAGTTAGCCCAACTCTGTCTGCCGCAGCTTGCGTCCGAGTGGAAAAATCATGCATTCACACCTAGGGAACCGAGGGGGTCCACTCCCTCTGCTGAAAAACCCATCTTTCCATTCGGAGGCGTCCTCGTGACACAGCGGGTGACGGCACAGAATGCATTTGCACACGGCTCGAGGATTAGATTCTAGCTTTGTGTCGTTCGATTTCCTTCCCCTCTCACACCGAAAGTCCACTGCTGCTACATTAGAAGGCCACTTCTGATGACATCCGCGGAGATTTTGGTTCATAACTGGAAAAAGAAAAAGATTGTGCCGCTCTGATTGAATGTTAATTGATGCTCAGAACCATTTTTTTGGGATTTATCACAGGCGGCAGTGACCCTGCTTAGTCCGAAAAAGGAGCTATAATTACTTGTCCAAATTACACATTTTGAAAAGCTTCACCAGCACGTCAGATTTAGAATTTGGGAATTAAGGACGCACACCTGCGTTATTAGGCTCTGACATGTTTATTTCCGTTGCATTCTGTCTGTGTTTAATGGGCTTTTCAACTTCAATTCTTCGACTGTCGACCTGTCTGGTTGGCTGTCCGTCCCCTTTTGTTCCCTCTCTGTCTTTCTGTCTCTGTATTCCTATGCTTCCATCCTCGGCTCCCTTTGATGGACTTCTACCAGCAGATTTGCCTCCCTCTCCCCCTTTTTCTCCCTTTCTTGTCCTGTCTCTCCAGCAGCAGTAGGCCATCTGCCTGAACAAGTCAGCCTCCCTCTTAGTCTTGATTTGTCCCGCTTTTGTCATTGTGAATTTTGTTTCTCCTCCATCAACCCCCCCCCACCCCCCGCATTTCTCTCTGTGGTGTGCGTGTGTGTCTGTGTGTGTGTGTGTGTGTGTGTGAGGGAGAGAGAGCGACGACAATGCGTTCAGCCCGTCTGAAGCCAATCAATGGGAGCTTATCGGGATGTGCTGTGCGGCGTGGCTGTCTGCAGCTGAATCCAGAGGCAGATACGGGACTGTGACGGGGTCTGTCTGCGCTCGACGGCACAGGGGGGGGGGGCACAAAGACGGAAGGCCAAACGAGTGTGCGTAAGTGTGTGTTATGTGCGGACGAGGGCGGTCATGCAGATTGTGTTGCAGGATGTCAGACAGAAGCAGCAGAGTAGAGAGTGTGCGCTTGTCATTCTGTCAATCAGGCCTCATACGGGTGGGGAGGGTTTGATGATCTGTGGTACATGTTTGTATACACACTTGTATATGAGTGTGACTGAGATAGGTGTGTGTATGCGTGTGTGTCTCTCATTCTCCACAAACAATCAGTAAGTTGTTGTATTCTAGTGTAGAAGTTAAAACCACACACTCTTCAATCCGTTCTTATACTTTTGTTGTTGCTGTGCATTTGTTTCACTGGCTAATTGTGAATGTGAACCATACTCGGTTCATCTGGTTTGGTTTGGGTCCTTTCACATGCACACACACGCACACACGCACACACACACACACACAACACACGCAGACAAACCCTTTAAAAAACATTAAAATGCTCATTTGTACCACACTTCCCTCTCCCCTAAACTAAAGGGGCTCCTTCTCCTGCGCCTTTTCCATCACTATGGTCGTCACCGAGGCAACAGGTTACGTGACATTTTGTTGTTGTTTTGGTTTGTCTCTCCCAGATGCCAAAGCTTCCTGCTGTTCATTTCCAGAGCAGATTGAGGGCGAATTGCCATTGCAATTATAAACGTTATCAATGAGGATGAGATTCGTTCCCCACTACATTTTATTAGAATCCAAGATAATCACTTCAGAAAATCCGGGGCCTTGAATAAAATCGGGCTTTTTGGCAGAGTGGCAGTTCCCTCGGCACACAGACAACCAGACGAGACTCATTGGGGTTTCAATTAGAGGCGTCGCACCAGACGGCTCCTCCTCTCTCTTTGTAATTAAAACCTCCAACCAGGTAATTATTGGAGGCGATGGACGGGGAAAAGAGGAAGTGAAGGGATGATGGATGTATTGCAGGTTGCGTCAGAAAATGAGGAAGTGACAGACGGATGAAGTAAAAGAGTTTTAAAGGATCCGGGTGATGGAGACGCAGGATAAGAAGATGGATTAAATGTAAAATGAGAGGGAGGCGAAGAAGGACCACTATACGGACAAACAGGCTGCTGATGACGAGAGGGAGGGACAGAGTGGGAGGTAGAGGAAAGGCGTCACAGAGGGAGGGGGGGCAATTTGCTTGGATCTCAAAGCAAGGATGATGGGGGTAGAAGAGGACACACAGGAGAAAGATCACTAGACTCTAATGATCAGTCTGCAAGGCTCCACTGCATGTGTGTGAGTGGAGGGGGGGGGGGTTGCCATGGTAATAAGTGCAGCTCGTTAGAGAGGGTCAATCAAGGAGTCAGCAGCAGGTGTCCGTCTGTGGTCGTCCTACAATTAGATATCAGCCAGTCTGTAAATGTGCACACGACTGTTAGTTACCAGCTTGTCTTGATCTTTAATTAAGATAAAGCAATAGAAGTAGAAGGAGAAAAAAAAAAGACATTGCTGGTAGACACACATGTCCTTCAACATCATCTGGATTCTGTGCACTCTGAGCCCATCTCGGTGCAGCAGGAGAGGAGCACTGGTGTGTGTGTGTGTTCATGAAAGACAGCGTTGCACACGGTCTCCCTTAATCCCCTCTGTCTCTGCAAGCAGGGACAAGTGAGCCGGAACAGGAGTATGTGTTTGTGCAGCCAAGCTTCCGTTCACCAGCTCTACAGTACGTGAAATTCTAATTTCACTTCATGTGGAATTAATTCACATTTAGCATTTTATTGAACCTTCACTTACATTGTATAGCTCTTATATACTACATATACTAATTGGATCCAAAATGTGAGTCGTTCCAGTGTCAATAAAGTATGTTTTTGATCTGCATTGCAACACAATTGGCAAATAATTTACCATGGCTGCAAATGTTGTGTCCTCGCAACCAAATAGAGTGCCACCTTTTAGCTGCACAAGCAGGTCAGCTTTCCGTAGCCCTCAAATAAGTGCTGCAGAAATGACATACTTTACCCAACACAGAGGTATAAATATGAATTGTTCTCCTCATTGGATTTTGCATTGTTGCACTCACATTTACAATATGCATTAAGGGAATACATCAAGTGAGATAAATATATATATATACACACAAATACATATACACAAACAAATTTCCACCACACTTTGTATTTACGGTATGGTTTCATACACTATCTCTTTTACTTCACTGTATTTCCTCTTGCTTTGAGGTTTTGACATGGCTGTTTATTTTTGCTCGCAGTGCCAGCAGTCTGGAAACATAAATGTTAAGTATTTTCTGCGCAGTTTTCCATAGATCATATTTGAATAATTTATTTTAGTTTCCGTGAGGATGCGGCCTGCACTGCTCACTTTGATTTGAAAGCGAACTGGCAGAATGAAGTCACATTGATATGGATGCAGTGGGTGGACGAGCTGTGCTCCGAAATGCCCTTATCAGACATGATCAGACCAGCCGTGTTATTTGACTCAACGCAACAGCTGAAACAAATGGGAAATAGCTGCTCCTGTCATAGCAAGATACAGGCACTATTACGGATTACACATTTCAGTAACATTATCCAAGGCATCCCTTTCGTGATGATTTTTTTTTTTGTCTTTATGTAACCATATTGGATTCTAAGCTGCAGAGAGTCATTAAAACACAGCTTTTAGCTGATATCCGACTGTTCACTAACAGCTACAAGTGCAGTTAAAGATGCGACAAACCGTGCAAGCCCTTAAAGTCTCTCACACGGTTACTCGTTGCTTTCACAGCAGTCCTTACAATCCTCAAGTGTATTGAGTTAAAATTATTTCATGGCACGATGCACCAAAGATGTAATTAATCACAGGAGGAACTCTGCAGCTTCACTGTACAGAAGAACTATTTGCTCAAGTAAATAAGTTACAGAGGTTTTACTGGGCTCCATGTACAAGTACACACACACATCTATTTTTCAAATAAATATTGGAGCTATACATTGTGACAGGCAATCTTGGACACAAGGAGTGAAGGAAATGCAGCGACACTTTGCTGTGTGCATCTTAGTCCTTCTGCCTTTGGGTCTTACTGCTACTACTCATTCTACGACTAATAAAACATTGGGGAGATTTTCCAACGACTTTCTCGTTGTTTGATGACCTCTAGGTCAAAGCTGGAAAATAACTTTCCACTAGCTGTAGTCTATTCTATTTCAATTCAGCTTCCTCTAAAATAACAATGTTACTATTTAAAATGTGAGAATAGTAGAATGTCATGAAAGGATGATGGATTGACTCCATATGTGAACAACGGGTTCTTTCTTCAGTTTGCGACACAGTATGATTGCACGGGCCGAAATGAATTTCATGCCTCCCATTTATTGCGTCTCTCTGTATGAATGTGCCGGGATGCCTTAAACAATAAATACAGTAGTTTCTCACAAACTGGCTTCATATTAGGGCTAAAGGGGGGAAAAATAACCGTGGAGAGTAAAGTAATTACCTTTCAGGGATGAGTATGAGAAGTCTGAAAGTATTTGTAGTTGTAACTCCTGGTGTGTGTGTGTGTGTGTGTGCGATGCATTGGGCATTTTATTCTTTGCAGAAATAATGTCTGCTACACAGATCTTAACCAGATTGGGGACTGAAGGGATGAACTGCTTCAGCATCTCTCCCTCCCACCTCTAAATACATATAAAGGAAAGGTTCTTTGGAAAAAAAGGATAATAGGTTCTCTTTTGCGTTTGTCATTTGTCACAAAGCTTAGTTAATGCTTTTTAATTGCCCACTATTTGCTGACATTGTGCTTTAGTTTACTGTGTGGTACAGTGAGAGGGTGATGCCTCTTTCATCGGGACGAGCACGTGGAGGAGACGGGCGATAATTCTTCGGTCTGTTGATTACAGTAATCGATGTTACGTTTAAGACAAAGTGGTTACCGGCTGGTGAGTGATTTGATTCTCAAAGATTGGCAGGTGGAGCTGTGCGTGCCGCACGTAGACGGAGAAGGGTTGTGTATCACAACATCATCAAGTGGTTCTACTCCACTAAACCGCGTCATTCAAAAAAACAGGAAGATGAATACATATAATATATGTTACAACTTTAAAATTTAAACTTTCCTCTGTGCGACGCGGATGTTGAGGCTTTGCATTCACTTGAGAAATTAATTTGCACCTGATTTTCTGCCTCAGCGCTATTATGAAGTCCATGTTAAGAATACCGACAACTATCTTCTCTTGCTTCAAATCAACAGCATGAATATCTTAGAATTCAGAGAAAAAAATGTAATTTGAAAACAATGGGGGGTATGTTGCAGAATTCAAATCAAAACATGAGAGATTATAGTCACGCTAATTTGGAAGGCGGGGCAAATATCTTTTCTTTAATTTAATTGCTATTGAGACCAACAGACATGACAAGACAAGAGAACAAAACTCTACCTTCACTTACTTCTTTCCAGAAGTTCTACCTTTCGTCTGGAGACTGAATAAAACCAGGAGATGTAAGGCAGAGTTTGTGCGATAGCTAACTGGAGCAAAGCCGGGCGAAGCCGGCCCGGTACCTGTAATCCCTCCGAGCTAATAAAGGTTAATCTGCTGAAGATATGAAGATTTCAAGATAGTTTGTTTTAGTTCTGTTTGTACAAACAGCCCTTTAATCAAAATGTCGAAGAATGGACCGTGTCACTGAGTCTTAGAGCAGCTTTTCAAAAAGTAGGAAAAAGTCACGTGTAACGAAATATACTTTTTAAAATATGTTTTACTTACTGTGAACATAATCGGAAGCTAATTTGGAAATAGTAGTCATCACAGCAGATATCACAAGCAGACATCTCTCATTTTAAAGCTCCATGATAAGAACCAATAAAAAGTTGGCTGAGCAGAAATTCAAATTCCAACAATATGATAGTGTCGGTACAATGAGCCACGCCATTACAGTCTGCTGAAGGGTTGCGTTTTTTAACTCACTTGCTGGTCCTCCATTGTCTGCAGCAAGAATTTAAATAAGGTGTTTTGCTTGCTGGAGGAGAGCAACACGTTAGAACATTGATAATGGATACGAGGCACATGTTCTTTTTATTGTTAATACATATGATCCCTCTGTAAAAATGGTGTTTTAAATAGTATCGACTAAAAAATGCATTTAAATGAAATCATTTTGAGAGCAGAGGGGAGGGCCGTCTGGAATACTAGTTGAAACCTTTTTAGGTTCATAACAAGCACATATTCTGTTCCCTTGGAAGAACCCATCCTGCATCGAGTGTGTAGCCAGGTAGCTATTTGGAGTCCGTCGCTTGTAACTTTGACATTTAATGTCAGAAAAGTGAAACGTGCCAGTCGAGAGGAGCACGAAGGCGTGCAGTGCGCGAGCTCCCTGCATGTCGTTTCACCCCGACTCTTCACCGTCCACCGCGCCCTCGCTCTCTCTCTCTCTCTCTCTAACAAGCCGTCCCAGATGTGCTGACATGCAGTTCACCTTCGGCGCCGGAGGAGCAGGGAAGGGAAAAGACCTTTGAAGTGAAACGGATCCCCATCAGTAAGCTGCAAGTCGCAGCTTAAAGCTCTAAGATGGAAAGAGACAGCAGGTAAAGACAGAGCACCTTTTACTGCACTAAAGGCTTATGCGTGGCACGCGTGTGTGTGTCTGATGTGCTTGAGACATGAAAATGTGTGTGTGTGTGTGTGTGTGTGTGCCTTTTGGATGAAGGTCATCGCTTCACTGCATGCCCACACACACACACACACAGACGGACGCACGGGGGAATGGTGATGGGGAGATGCTTTATTGAGCATGTCTTCAGCTCAGCCAAGCATTCAGCTCCCCCACTGACCTAGAAATGAATGACAAGGCAAACGAAAGCTGCAGTAACTCACTCTTTTCTCTAAGGGTCATGAAGTCTGTCATCAAGGCTGTGGCTGTGTGGCATGAGAAGATATTGAGCCATATTATATCACGAACTTGGAAAAAAAGAGGCAAACCTGCTTTGAGTTGAGCAACTTCAGTATATCCTTAATTGGCATGGGATGCAGTATCCACAGCAACAAGAGTAATCGGGTGCCAAAAACAGAAAGTAGGTGGTTGTGATTATGACCCATCTGTAATCTGTAATATTAATATACAGCACAGGCGCATACATCTCCTTTTAGGTTCATAGGCATAACGCACCGGGTCTTTTCCTTATCAAATACAAGGTAGACTAAATCCACTTGTTCTATTTCTTTTTGCCATGAATAATGTATGTTTCAAACTAAATGCCTTCTCCTCCTTCTCAAAAAGGCACCCATCTGAAAAAGAAAAAAACGCACGTGCACCTGAATACCAAAACACAGGTTCTCATTTTGCTGTGTTTCTTCAGTTCGGCACACGATTGAAGGGACGGGAAGATGGACTTCAGCCGCACAGAGAGGACAAATCAAAAGACACACTGTGCAGAGTGACACCGCCCTCGCCCGCGTTACTTACATCCAACTGACACGTCGACTCACAGACTGCAAACGAGCAGGAGATGAGGTTTCGACCCAATGAGTCACATCTCGTCTGGCTCCGTGTTATACATAAAGATGACGGGCAGTGTGTGTGTGTGTGTGTGTGTGTTCTGAACCGGCATGTGCTCATCAGTGTCAGGGCTTCGTCCCGCCGAATGTTTACGTATTTCAATACGTTAAAATCTTGTTTTGCACGAATAGATTTAGCATTGATATTATTGTAGAAAGAAACATTTACATTTTTATTTAAGTGTCAGACGTGCAATTATGGTTAAAAGAAAGGTTATTATGTAGAGTAAAAATGGAAAAAATGTGTGCAGAAACCAATCAGTACAAAGAAAATGCAAGCGCACAACAATGCTTTTTCCACTGAGTAGGTGACAAAACAAGTGGAGAGAGTGCAGCAAAAGAAGAATCACAGATCGACTTCGACATCCCTCGAACCACGCTGCTGGCCTGATTTAGAAACAAGCTTCCTTCGCAGGTGTCCGTGCTCCTGCTTCAGGTAAAGGTGAGGAGCTCTGATATCTTGAAGGAACATGGAACAGAAGCACTGCCCTGCTGCTTTACAAAAAAAGAGCCTTTGAGGTGATTCGGGTACTCGATCCCCTGCAGAAGTGCTCCATGCAGCCTGGAGGCAGAGCCACAACACGCTCCAGGGGTCACGCTTCTCAAATGCCTTTGGAGGAGGAGGTGACCGGAGGAAAGACGTAAGGATGTACGGGTTGCCTAGCTTGACCCCGATGAACAGCGAGAGATCGTGCGGCTGGGTGGTGAGAGCTACAATAAGACACTATTGTTAATGTACTGCAGGCATTCGCCTTATTGGAGCGAGGACCAACTGAAAGGCATCATTTACTTCCACCAGATGAGGTTTTTTTTTTTCAATCTATGTAAAATGTTATGTAAAATTGTAATTCTACCCACTCTTCAGAAAGCGAGATATTTATCTCGTCTTTTCCACAACACTGAACAATAGCTGCGTTGCTGAATTATGTATTTTTTCAACACGAGCGGAGGCATTTCAATGTCGTTGTTTTTTTGGACCGTGCCGATCCAGCTGCTTGCCATTAAAACGTATGAGAAGGCAGAAGAAAGCTCAGAAGACGAGGAGTGAATGGATGGTGAGGCAGGAAGTAGAAAGGTACAGAAAAAGAGGGAGTGGGAGGATGAGAGGGGAAGTGGATGGATGTTATTGAACAATCCCAATATATCTGTCTCTCTGCAATATAACACCATTTTCCGAATAAAATCTTTCTTCTTAAACTCTGAAATGTATTTTGCATCCATCACTGGTGCCGCCTCACTTTCCACAGGATTGCATGTTTTGTGGTATCAAAAAGGTAGTTATTTACTTCCAATGGCAAACCTTTGCATTTATAATTTTTACTAGCAGATTGTTAGAATGGGAAACAACATTTAAAGTTAGTTTGACCATGTTTTATTATTTATCAACTGTTTGAATGCCAAATTCCCAAACCTTTTGTAAAAATATCACCTTAAACTGTTGGTATGTGCATTTTTACAGCCATCAGTTACATATTCCTACGGCCAGCAAACAGAGACATTAGCATTTGTCTGAAGGCATTTTCAGTTACATTACATAACATATCTTCACCCCTTTTGTTGTCGACAAATTGATTGGTGCAGCTTCAATGATGATGTAACCTTGATTTGCAACCCAACGCCGTCGTTGCTCTCATACAGGAATAACCGATGCAAAGCTCCTGAATGGCCCGGCCTGTTTCGAGGCCAAGATACACAACTGATAAAGGAAAATAGGAGAAAGTTAGAAAGGTGGTAACTCAAGTCGCTCGTTACCTAGCAACCGTTCATAAAGCACTGCCAGAAAAACCTTAGCCCAGCCAGATTGCTTGGCTTCGACTCGTTGCTTTAACGAATGCCCAGTTACACTTGGAAAAAGACCGAAAAGGTGGGAGTGTGTCTGGACAACAGCGAGAAGAAGAATCTCAGAACAGCATAGTCTTAAAGTACTTTTCCCTCGATGGAGAGAACGAACAAATACACAAACTATATAGGAAGGCTCAGTGGGATTGAAGACTTCCATAAATATATGTTGTCACCAACAGCGAGAGGCATTTTGTTCTACCAGCCTGTTATTACTCAGCACCAGTCTAATTGCTTTTGATGCACTGAGCTGGATCAGAACTTTTTCAGCTTGATAATGAAAAGACTGCTCAGAGAAGCAGAGTTGTGGGACAGGGGACAAGACAATGGCATAATGACACACACACACACACACACACACACAAAATATACGCACGTGCCTGTGTAAGGGAGCCAACTGTTTTGGGGAAATTAAAATGAGTGGCACATCGCCTGTCAGCTTTTTGTGGGACTAGATCCCCTGTAACACATGCGCACACACACGCACACACGTTCAAATTTAGAGGCACACACAAACACAGTGCTCCTCTTGTGACAGCAGGGAGGAGATATGGAAGAGAGCAGACAAAAGTTGGATCTGTGATGCATTTCAAAGTCAACGTTTCCTCTCATAATTGGGCTTCTCGCTGTCTGTCTGAGCGATGCATCACTGGATAGCGTCTGTCTGTCTGTCTCACGTTTCTTTCTCTCTCCAGCCGCAGTCCCTGTGCACTTATATCACCTTTTCACTTCCGTCCACACACCTGACTCCACTTTCCTCATCCGCTGGGCCCGCCTCCTCCACACCTGCATCTGCTCTCAATCCCCCCCAGCTGCTTCCCCCGTTCACGCCGATTAGATCCAGCTCCTACAAATAGCAACCCGGTTCCTTTGTCCGTGGTCCGTTCGTAACCTGTGGCACCACGTGGCGGTTTGTGTGCTCGTTATCGGGTCGCTGTGCCGTCTTCTGAAGCTCGGGCGGTTGATGCCTGTCATCTTATGGCCGTGCTCCAATAAAACATCTGTTTCATCTGCTTCCTCCTACTGTCTGTGCTGCATTTGGATGCTTCCCTCTGTGCTAAAGAAGATGAACCAAGTTCATCTTCGAGTACAACAGCATTTGAGCTGGTTTGAAAAATGTTGCCTTCACATCCGCGAGGATGATTGAATGAATCTTTCTTTCTTTCAAATGGCGCAACATTTTTATTTTTCACATACAAATTCTGCAACATCTCCCCCTGTGTTTCTTTCTTGATCATCCCTGCACCTCTTCAACCCGTCACTCCTCCGCCTTACCGTGAGACTCGGTAAGAAAACCTCCTCCTCAGAGCAGTGGGCGGGAGGGGCGGGGGTTGTCTGGAGGGGAGAGCTACGCCTTTGGGGGTCGCTGGAAGCTCTCTGGCATCTGCTCAGTGTTCCAACGCGACAGCTAATCACACAGGAGGCATAAACAGTGCTGGTCTGCGTCTTTTATCTCGAGCAGAGCCAGGACGATGGCCGCTGTCGTCATCGTTGCATAACTCCTTGGATGCAACAAATAAAGAAAAGGCGAGGGAGAGGAGAGGGTGTGTAGGATGTGTTGGGAGAACAGAGCAGGGTGATACATTGCTGATGAATATTTTAGAGAGTTCTCTGTTGTATGAAGAGGAAGGCTGTACGTACGGCAGTATGTCGGAGGATCTTAAAGAAACCGGGCCACAAGGACACACACGGAGACTTATACCCAAGGAGGAACTGGTTTAGAGTTTCACGTTTCAAAAGAAACATTTCCATGTCATTTAGTTGAGATTTAAAAATAACTTATTTATATAAATAAAGTCGGGAATGTTCAAAGTGCACCTATTGCACCATGAAACGGCACAACTCGTTCGTAGTGACTAATATTTCTTTCTTCACTTAGACCAATTGAGTAGAGATCTTTCTACAGAATATTTACATTATGCGTATTGCAGGATCGGATCTCGGATCACACTGGAAAAAAGAAGTCAACATTTGTTAGCCGCTGCGTAATCAGTTTAGCTTTGTTGTAGAGGCAGGAGTCTGGATATTGTCTTTGCCTTGAATATTTTTTAGGAGATTATAACATTAAAGATGATGGAACTCAACTTTCCTTTGCACAAAATAAACCAACATAACAATAATAGTACATTTAGGATTTTAATATACAGTTTTCAAGATAAAGTTCTTTGATAAACAAAGGGACAGTTTTTTGGCTATATAAAAAGCTATTTAGAAACCAGTGACTAGACCTAGAGACAATAGTGGCTGTGTGCTTAACATTTTTAGGTATCAAATACAGACACAATTTGCTCAGAGTGAAGAGGAAACTCACAACATTCAGAACAAACGTCCCACTGACTGATTTACAAGGATCACTTCATCAATAGTTTGAACTACGTTACTACACACTGAGCCATTTAGAATGAGCTACTCCCGGAAAACTAAAGCAGGGAAGGAGAATGCGTTTCCCGGAGGTCAGTTTACACTTCAAACCCCCCCCCCTCCCCCAAAAAACAGTAGTAGGATATCAAAAACATAAGATCACTGAACTAAATACCCCCCAAAAACTGTTTTAAGCTGGTGCAGGGGAGATCTCTGGACGGCCCACAATAACCTGATAGCGTTGGTAATTAAAAGTTGTCAAACCGGCTGCGGGGTGTGGTGCTTTGTTTCTGCCCATTTCTTCCTTTTTAACTGGAAGAACCAAAAGGCAGTCGCTGACCAGAGGCTTCAGCCATCTGAATCTCTCCGAGCTCGTAATCTGTAGTTCATTAAAGCTAAAGGGTTGCTGCTTCCAGCTGAAGCACGAAGCACCCTTTACCCACCGTTCTTCATATCTCCGTGTATTTTTAGTGCGACTGTCCCTTGGTGCTGCCGAACCTGATTTAATATTTTTCTTTTTTTGTAAAAACTCCTCTTCCCGATGGTGCCAAGGGCAAACTGACCTCCACGCTGAGAGAGACACCCAGAGATAGTGTGCTACTACCACAAGAGCACAAGAGACAAGACAGAGATTAGGTTTTTGGCAGTGCAGAATCGTATGCAAAAGATTCGTCGCAATTTACAGTTTACCATGAACTTCACACCTGGGTCATTACAAAGGGCGCTACTTTTTCAAGTTAGCCACAAATATTTAAAGAAATTTGACTTTTTTCTGACGTTAAACAAGCCAAATTAAGGCTTTTTAAGCTTAATTTCTTATTAAATGGTCGCGCAGTTCCGTTATTAGCATGACTTTAATTACCTGACCCGTATTTAGATGTGATAGTGGGCTGAACCTTGTTTTGACCCAAGTCTGACCGGTAGAATTAAGAAAAGAGAGTAACAGTACAACACACTTGTAAATTTATACACTGGGAATAACATTTCATTGGTTCTCCTTAAAAACTCAAGTATTGAAACTGCAAAAGGGTTTTAGAGGTTAAAAAAAATGGTAAAACACTGTAAAACTGACCAGTCGTCAAGCCCCGCCCCCGTGAGGTCACTGTGAAACTGAAACCTGCAAATAATGGCGACAGAATTACTGTACCGCCTAAAGTTGCTGTTGTCCTTGACTTCAGACAAAAGTGGCTTTGCTGGCGACTGGCAATTTTGCCGGATGAAATAACTAATTGGGATTTACGGGGATTTTGTCAGCTGTCACTAGCGAGCTAACTGAACGGCCATTTCAAGTGTGAGTCCATTGAAAGCACTGTTCTCCGGCTGACTTTGTTGATCTCTAAATACATGTGCTAAAAGACAGGCTCAAACGACTGGCTGCCTCTCTGTGATGGATAATTAAGGAGAACTATTTGGAGGGTTTTAGCAAACAGTCAATTGTTGTCTTGCCGTCGAGATAATTGACACACTTGAGGTAGCACTTATTTTACAGTTATTACAGGAGATGAGAGTAAATAACTTGAAAAGGGAAAAGCTACTTTGTATTTACTATAAACTTTAAAGTCATCATTGGTTTAAAAAAACACAATTCCCTTCAAGTCCAGCAGTTGTTACAATGCTGCATTGGCACTTTGTTGTGGTAATGATTTAAATTATGCCAGAAATACCTAGTTAGGATTGATGATGCAAGTTAATAATCTGCGTTTCATAAATAACTACCAGTGATCATTTAGGTCTCTATCTTTTCATTTCTCAGGACCTGTTAATTACTGTACTCTAAAATGAAGTGTTACATTCCTATTAATAAAGGCCGTATTTACACTTGATTCAGGCAATCTCTCCAAACTGTCTTTATGGCAGCTATGTTGAACTTTATATTGATTTTTGTTCTTTTACACCACCATTGTTCACACACACACACAACTGCTATCCGTCTTCTTGACAAAAAAAAGAAATGGCGTGCAGCTCAATTACTTGAGAATCTAAGTGGAACAGATGGATTTGTTGTTTACAGCGCATTCATCATAAGAGCACCGGAGAAATTGTACAGTGTGTATATATACAGCCTAACGTGTAAGGCGTGACATGATACAACAGTATAGTGCAGATTTATTTTCAGTCCAGGCTGAGTCCGTCACTTTCAATCAGATTCCAAGGTGTTACGCTCCATTGCATTTCCACTGTATTCTCTTCATTCAACTTAATCTACGGTGTTTTCATTTGATTGCATTCCACTCCTTTCACCCCTCATTTAATTTAAAATAGTCCTTTCCAACCTCTGAATTCTGCCCATGTCCGTGTTTATCGCTGAGACCAGCCCAGTTACGTTTGAGTCCTGGATACTTTACAACATACAGTGTAAGTGTGTACATTTGGATTCACGCATCCTCTCTGTTTTCCTCTTGCAAACTGTCGTTACTGCAGAGGCCGTCTGCGCTATAGTTCAATTATTGTCAGTCTGGTTCCCATGTGTGCAGCATTACATGAACTGTACAACTGCAGCGGCTGTAGTCAGTAAACTGAGCCCAGTATTTCTATACGTTGTTTTAGCACACAAGTACAGCTGGGTTCTGTATTTAAGTTATTTTGCAAGGTTCCCATCATTTCAACAGTGACACATTTCGAAGGTGATTTGGCATTTATTATACTTCCCTTCGGATACATCTGTATTATTTATGTAGGCCAAATCTACATGATGTCTTGAACCACTCTGTTAGTTTCAACAGATAATGTTGGGACATATTCTGCACAATCACGTCCATATATTTATTGTACAGAAATAAATAGTATTACCTTTACCTGCCAACTATAGCACGAGGACAGCGGAAAATCGTTACTACGTAATCTAAAGAATTCAACGTCTTGAGAGGATCGAGACATGAGAAGGGCGGGGAGGCCGTCCCAACTGTCCAATGGTATTTAGGCATATAAGGTCTACAGCAGGGAGGTTTGTAAGTTTTAAAGGTTTCAGGCAGGATTTCTAAAAACATGTACCGAGCCTGTTTTAGGGAGCACATCAGGGCACGAGTGAAAGAAGAGTTTGCTCTTTGTTAGATACCCTGGGTTACACACAGAGGTACTGTAAGTGTACAGAATCATTGAAGGGAATAAAAGTTCTGGATGAGGGACACCGGGCTGAATTTGATCCATCCAGTGTCCCACTTCCTCCACGGACTCCACCACACCAAAACGTGACCACACCAGGTAAGGCAAATCTCTCCCAAATCCTCCCTCCGGGGGGGTGGGAGGGGGGGGGCGAGGAACCTCTCTCGCTCAGCAGTTGGAGCCGGCCGGCGTGTAGTTGCTCAGCTCCCGCCGGATGGTGCTGAACGGCGACAGCTCCAGCTCGGTGGTGCACTCGTGCTCGTTGTCATCGCTGGCCGTGGCCGAGGACGGCGCGTGGTTGCAGCAGCAGCAGCAGCAGCAGTCCAGGAAGGCCCTGCCCAGCGGGCGACACAGCAGGAGCAGCAGCGCCGGCGTCACGGCGGCCCGGCAGAACAGCAGCAGCTGGGAGAGGAGGTGGAGGACGGACATGGTGTGCTCGGGAACGCCCGCCGCCATGTAGGCCGAGACTATGTTGCAGATGTTCTCGGGCACCACGCACGCGCCGTAGACGATGGCCAGCGCCACCACCGTGCAGTTCATCTGGCTCTCCAGGCGGATCTGCTTCTTGTTGCTGCGCACGCTGGACTGCTCGGCGCGGCGGATCTTGCGCGCCGTCACCAGGGAGCACCCGATGGTGAAGAGGGTGGGGAGGCAGAAGTAGCAGCCGAAGCACCACCACAGCCGGGCGCCCTCGTAGGTCAAGCCCAGCACGTAGAGCATGTCGGGGAGCGAGGTGGATATGCGGATGATGCAGCGTTCCACGGGAGGCTCGTCCGGCATGCCCGTCTCCTCCACCACCAGCTGCCTGATGAGGAGCTCCGGCAGGGCCAACAGGAGCGCGCCGATCCAGATGACGGCCAGCTTGGCGGTGGTGGAAGTGCAGTTTTCGATCATCTCGTAGTACATCTGGACGTTGGTGGCCGCGCGGAAGCGGTCGATGCACAGAGCGCACAGAGTGAAGGTGGTTACGCCGAGAGAGGCCACCTGAGGGGTACAGACAGAGATGAACATTATATAAACTTTAGTCTCTTGGAGAGGCTCTACTTTGCTTCAATCTTTGTGGCTAAAGAATGCCGTTTGTATCTTGAACTTCATCTCAGCATGAAACAGCACAGAACGTTAGAGAGCAAAGTCATCCAGCTAATCTTCTAACTATGGTCGCATATTAGAAATAGTGGATATTTTATGCTTTCATCAATTTACCTAGACTTTTTCATTAATGCTTGTTTTTTATTTATTATCTTTATTATAACTACTTTGCTCAACAAAGATGTGCTCCCGAAAATAAGCCTGACTGTAAGCACTTCAACTGATGAGCTTGTCAAGGTTGTCAGGTCCCATTTAATTAATACAATAATTTCAAGCAACTTGAACCGAAATGATCTCCCATGTGAAGAAATGTCTTAAGAGAGGGATGCCGGTGAAGCAAACAAGTAGATTCCTATGCATTGAAACACAAAGAAAAGCCCTTTAGGCGAGTTGTCACCCAACACCGCGTAATAAAACGGCAGGGCGCACAGGAGCTGCGCCGGCCTTTTTTCGGGCTGTACCTCACAATGGTGTAATTACAAGCAGTGGAGCAACAGAAGCACAATGGCAGGCTGTAAGCTGCTATTAAGGCGGTGGTGCTGAATGTGTCTGGGGGGGCGGGAGAAAAGACAGACAGAAAGCGGGCGAGTGACGGGTTGGATCACTGGCCCGGTATTTTCACACCTCCCGTTCTGTGAGTGCCACTAATTAATGCACTAAACGTTCCACTTTTGTCTCTCTAATGTTTCCCTACAAAACCTTCGTGTTATTAAACTAATTGCCTCCACGTTGTCCATGTAACTCTGCAAATTGTGAGTGAGCTCACACAATTTCTCAGCCTCCAGAAAGCATCCGTTGGATTACCAGTCATTTTGTGCATAACATTTCTCTGCAGATGGTGTGTGTGTGTGTGTGTGTGTGAGCGTTCCTGGGTAAACCTGTTTTCTTTTTTTAAACGATCTTGCAGCCACTTACCCGTTCCATCCTCTGTCCTGCTTGGTTACCCTTTCTCCCTCGGACTCTCACTTATCTCTCCTTTTTTTTTTCCTGCAGCTCCCCACCCTTTGCCCCCCCCTCATCCATCCTTTTCTCAATTCATATCAAACTTAATTGTAACAGCCAGCTTCCCAGATGGCCCCAGTGAGCCATGGCTTTAGTGCTCCAAACACATACTTTGTGGACAGATATAAATGTACACACTGCAGGATGTTCTGTGTATCTAGGCCTCACACACACACGGGCAGACAGAATGACCCTCTGACACACATGGCTGCCTAAGCAGACTAATGAAGGAAACAGCGAGGGGTAAGTGGGGTAGATAAACCGGTAACGTGGTTCGGCACTATGCACAGTAGCTGTTGTTATTGTGTGTGTTACGTGTCATTACGCAACAATCTTGTAACTGTCATTGCAGTTTATCGGTTTGGAAATCCTGCCAAGGCAAGAACAATTATTAATCATTATCTTTATAAGTGATACATGTTTATTCGGAGCAACTTGGTAAAATTTAAGCCACGCACATTTATATGAGTGGTTTACTCACACTAATTGGATTTGGGCAGGAGTGAACATTTTCAGGGCACTTTGCAGTTATTGCCGTCTTCCACTTGGTTACCCATGTTTGAAAACCAGTGGGCTTGTTACAGCCTACTTCTGGTTCAATCACACGTTCATGATAAAATGAATGCATGTAGGTATTGCGATAAACACACTTCATCAGATCCCTCTTTGACACGTTGTTAGCAGGGAATTGTTTTACGCCATAACGTTTCAAATTGCCCTTCTTAAACTGCTGGTACCGTGTCCGAAAGAAAACGAGAAAAGTCCCATCAAATTGGGTTTAATGTCAGTCTGGGGCCGTTGTTGCGCTCGAGTTTTAAACAGGATTTCGACAGCATCACCTCGTCTCCACCATGAATAAAACACAAACATGCCGATGTAACAAACGCACTGCAATTCTTCTCGCTTCATTATCGTGACTCTTCCGTTGGTGGGGAAACCTTTCCATTCCACGCTACAGCTAACACAAAACTGCCTGTTTTTTGTGATGTAACAGAGAACAATGAGGTGTCTTTGACACCTGGTTCTAAAATCTGGTAAAAAAACAACAGTCTTGAATCTCCTCTGCATTGCATCCCTCGGACATGAGTCTCAGTTAATAGTTAATTAGGCATCACATTGAGCTCCACTTGTGACCCACTTCTTCCGCTATGAACCTGCACACCTGTGTTCTCATATGGTGGCTTCAATGGAACACACACTCACACACACATGCCCATCCAGTACGCACAGAACGGTGCTTTGCACATAGTGAATATTTCATGCATGCAACAACTGCGCCGGATCGGTTTTAAAGGCTGTCGGGGAGGACCCGGAAACCCAGCTTTGATCAACGTGTTGTGGCAGAGCGCGAGGGCAGGAGGAACAAGCATAACTTTGTAGGAGAAGGGGAGATGAGAGAGAGAGAGTCCAGGAGTCAGGCCTGCTAGGGGGCTGACATTGTGTTTGTGGAACGGGGTGATGCAAATTAGGGAAAGGGAAAGGGACAGCGGATTGGATAAGGAAAGAGCAGAGCGAGGGAACACGTGAGTGAGACACAAGTCTGATTTGACAGTGAGAATGTTAATCGCATTTTTGATTATTTTTTACAGAGATTTCTACAATGCAATTTTAGGAAATATGACAGTTTTAGAAGTTGGAGCAGAAGATACCTCTCGTGTTTGTAAACTAAACAAAAGGGACCTTAGCTTAGCAGTAGCTTATTATCAGGGCACGTTTAATTTCCTCATTGAGGTGTTATGTGTTTTTGTACAATTGTTCTCGTTCTCACGTAGCCGGCTATTTGCGTTTTCCAGTCTACTGTATTTGCTAAGCTAAGCTAACTGCTTCCTGTAGCTTTACAGAGTTTACAGTGGTAGGCTATAGATCCTCTCATAATACTCAGAAACACAGCAGACATTTAGCATAATGTGGAAGTATGCCTTTACCACACAGTTTTGTCAATTATCTGGAAATTGCAATGTCATTACCACTATTTTTTTAACAACCTCAAAATAGAATAATCATAATGGCTTGCGAAGTACCGTTTTTCTAGTTGACGTCATATATTTTTTTCTCAACCTTGGACTTAAAGGGGGGGAAAAAAGAAGATAAAAAGCTTTTCGTCCATAACACATGTCTGGCCGTCTATCTGCACTGCGGGTTACGAGACATTTCTCCTGCTGCCGTTTTTAATAACGGCCCATTAACTGTCCGAATATAGGTCCAGTGAGCTGGTGGCACAAAGACCTTGTGTTATTAATTGGCTTTTAACAAGCACTGGTGGAGCCTGTGGAGCCACACTGTGATTATTCAACCCCAGTCAGGGGTAACAGGTGTTGTCAGGTGATGAATGGCTAATGTGGAGACACACAAAAACAACCAACACTCATCTCAGTCGTATAACAAGGAGGCATGGAGACAAAGGTCCTACTTCCAAGCTGAGTGTGTGACCCACAGCGGGCTCCAGCAGACCATAACTCTAACCAGAGAGACCCCGCCGCTGACAGCCGCCATACGTCTAACAGCTGGGTGGTGTGTCGGGAAGAGACAGGAAACTGATATACGAGTGTGCACGTTATGGGTAGGTGTGTGTGTGTATGTGTGTTCCCGTCCACATTTAAGCAGGCTTATTCAAATATCATTGCGGGTGTGTGCTTACACGTACTAGTGCGATACGTATGAGTGAGTGTCAGTCTGGGATTATGGAAGACAGACACGCGGTTTAAGCTTTCCTCGAGGGCTGAAAACCACTTTTCTGGGATGATGTTACAACAGAAACTTTGAAATCCCATCCCTCTCCTTCTTACAGTGTGCGTTGCATTGTACTGTTCTCTATTGCATTGTGTTTTAACCTGACAAAGACATCCTCAACACAAATTCCGCTTGCAGGTCCTAAGCTTTGCACAAAGAAATGTTGATGCAGAGGTCAGTTGTACCTGCTGCCTATTTGCGTCTGGACGGTGAAATTGAAGTTTGACCCGTTAGCTTAGCTAGAGTCTTGTTGCCTGGCAACCTCCCAGTTGGGGCGATTGTGTGATGTGATTGAAAGCTCCACAAGGGACCTTGCGCTAAATTTAAGTGTTCCTCAAGAAAAGGACAAAATTACAATCAATTGACTCATTTTCTGTTCCATGAACAAAGGGAACAATCTCTGCCAGCCCGGAACTGAGATCCGCAGAATTCACAAATAAGCAGGGAGAGAACTCACAATTCATCACTCTTCAATTAATTTAATGGCAACCATCCATTAGAGTGTTCAACTCTATGCTGTGTCTGACTGCCTTTCAAAGTCTTTCAGAGTGTGAGGGAGTTTATTTTGTACACGTCTCTTCTCTTCCATTCCAATGATATCCTGACCTGTGGCAGATTTCCCCAGGAAGCATTTTAAAGATTCATCCTGCTCCCCTTGTAGATTAGCTGCTGAAAAAGTCCAGCTCTGTATTCCTGATCCCTTAAACGCCATCTCTTCCTTCTAGTGTATTCTATTAAGGTTGGCTAGCGGCCTGTTGCGTGTCGATCTGAATCTGAAACAAAGTCCACACTTATTTCACCAACACACCTAATTAAAAATCAACCAATGAATATTTCATATTTACTCGGGTAATTACCAATTTGGTTAATTGAATCCAACTGCAGGTCTAATCTTTGCTCCATGCTGATGTGCGGCCTTGTCTCATCGCTAAAAACCAACCAGCTACTCATCCTCGGACAAAAAGCTGACTGAATGCACTCACCATCATGCATTATGTAGAGACCCTAATTATATAGCCTGAGACATTTACATAGCTTCCAATTAACTATCATTCGCGTGTCTAATAGACCCGCTGAGGAACGCGGGTGGAAAGGGGGGGTGACACAGCGCGTGTTTGTGCACTTTATGTGTGTGTATTCAGCGTTTTACCACAAATGTGCGTGTGCCAAAATACGGCCGTACCATATGTAAGTGTGTGTGAGTGGGTCTTCCCCCGAGGACTTGTTTCTAATCACAAATAGCTGATGCAGAGCGAGAGAGAGAGAGAAACGGGGGGGGGGCAGTGTTGAGTAGAGAGAAGGGCATCCCACCCATCTGGAGGGGCAGCGCACAAGACTGACTTTGTGTGTGTTTGTGCACAGGCTACTTTTCTTGGTAGAAGATGGAGGCTGAAATCTCAGTGATTGTGAGAGCAGTTGTGTTGGGACCACCAGAAAGAAAAGAGCGTCTAGACGTTGGTTCTCGTGCCGACGTGGTCGTGTAATCCTGGATGTTACACAACCACGCGGGAACAACACATTTGTATTTCTGATTACAAGCCTCAATGTGTGTGTGTGTGTGTTGGAACAGCGATTGTGTCAAGTTGATGTATGTCCTGCCACTACCAACCATTTCAATGGGTCTACCCCCGGCTCCGTGTGGCTCCATGCGGCCCTCTCTCTCTTTTCCTTTTCACAATCTCTCTCTCTCTCTCTCACTCTTCCCTCAGCCACTGCCAGTCTCTGCTTCAACGGTTTGTTTCTTTCTCTCTGGTCAGTCAGCCAACAGTTAAAAGAGGGCATTGAATAGCACAGTGAGCTAGATGTATGAGGTTAAAAAAAAAAAAGATTTACCAGTTACGGTAATGTTTTACGGAGAATAATAAACTCAAAAGAAAAGGTTTTTTTCGGGGACAGAAAATGTTGCGTACATACAATCAATGGGCAAAGCCGTTGTTCTTCACACTTTATTGCATTACTGTAATGTGGTTGGACCATGAGTGGAATCACCAATAAACCACTAAGGAGACATTGTGTCTGTAGAGTAGATTTATGTCCCATAATGGAGATTTGCAATTAGCCGTTAATCAGATTTTGAAAAAAAAAAAAGAAGGTGCTGTGAATACAGACGTCTGCTGATGGCTTTAGTGATTAATAGAGACATGCATGATAGCCATACAAGTAGGGGGTTACAAATCTGACGAAAAAGCTATTTAATCCTCCATATTGCATTATGTATTACATATAAGTATTACATATTACATATACCTTTAAGAGGTACATTGACATGTACTGTATACATGGATGCTTTCAGGAACCAGATTTGAGTGTTTATGTATTTTCTGTTCTTTTCAACACCTGTGTTTTTATGCCATGATAAACTCAACCTGTAGACATCCGGCATTGAAGATCGATGTTTTATTAAAAAAAAATGCATTGCATAATTTATACTACGATAAAAAGCGCACCGTTCCGTATATGCTTTTGCGCATAGTCATTCATAAGCGCGTCTTTATTTAAGGTAATGAGACAAAAATTCCCTGCGTTACAGCAGCGCAGCTCTGAATGAACCTTGACAAATGACTCGTTCCCCCTCTGGCTTATAAAATGCTTACTGCAATGTTTGTTTGTTACTTTAGCCTACTTTCAAGTTCTATTCTAATCAACTGTCAGGTGCAAAAAAAAAGGCAATTATTGCCCATTAGCTTTGACTGAATCTGCTGCTCTGTGCATCGCTGCTTCAAGAGGTCGTCTGCAGGGACGCTGAGCGTATCGGAGATAACGCGGACCGGCTGTAACGCACATCTTTTATTTTGTGAAGCATTCTTACCATTTTCCTGTCGGCTTTTCTCACATCACATACCTATAATTGCTTAATCCTTTTAGGTTTGGGTGATTCCATGCTCTATTAAACACTGAATAAACCAAGGGTTACTGGAGGCAGCACAAGGAGACGGTGATGCATTATCTATGTCATCTGCTGATTATGCATGCATGGACACATGAAGTTGGGTCCCATGTTTGTGTCAAGAGTGCGCCGTGCACATCCAAGCATGTGTGTCTTCATTTCGGGCCAAATGACGATATTCACCATGGCTGAATTTGGGTTAAGTGAAAAATAAAGTCACTCCGCTGGGTGACATTGTCTGTGCAAGTGTGTGTGTTTCTTTGAATGTTCCACAGGGAGAGAGTAAACCCCAGGCTGCATTACTCACGGCCTGTTTTGACACATGCCTGAACACACACACACACACACACACACGCACACGCGTCGAAAGCAGGCAGGCCCCAGTGCACACGTCCTGATAGATATTCACATATGCACATGTAGTTATAAATGTACGGAGAAAAGTGAATAGCAACCCTCCCCGAAAACCCTGCATTAAGAATGGCCACTGCAGTGTTAGTAAGTTATTGAATACTATAAGCAGCTCATATGCAATAAAATATTATAACACGCCGTATGCACTCAGCTAATTATATAAAGTATCCACTGCACTAAGTGTTAAGTGGTAGCTTCCTATTTTGTGAAACATATAAAATCCAAACATTTCTAAATGAATCAGGTACGGACCTTTTTTGGATCTGATCTGAAGGTGATAACATGGCCCCCTTGCTCCCATTATCACTTCATGATGTGACAGCCCTCCCTATGTGGTCCCCGGAGGGCGTCACCTGTCCCGGTTCACTGCCTGGCAATGGAAGCCGTCTCTCTCCTCTCGACATCCAGCCTTCTCAGTTTGATTACATTTGCTGTCCTCTTTTTGCTGCACCGCACAGCTCACAGCTCACTCACTCATGATGCCACCCATACTGTAACTTCACTGCTTCCAATTGGGTTAGATGTTTAATTCAGGTTAACCGCCCTCCCCTCCCCGAAAAAAACCCTAAAACCTTTTTGAAAATCTCTTTCTTCAGCCTGTTTGGGACATTTGAACACCAGCTTACAGTCAGATACCCATGAGCTGGAAACCCCAGGTTTTATACAAAGGACATACAAAGGTACCTTGCTGGTGAATCTGACACTGGTGTGATGACAGTGAGGGAAAGGTATCAACATGGTGTAAGAAAAACAATCTAGCAACCGATCGATTGCTCACGAGGTGGACCAACAACATAAAAACAGGACGAGGAGGGAGACAGAGTGTGTTTGTGTGTGTGAGGGCAGTGATGTGGTTTACCCGACAACACGTTTTATCAACCGTATATACAGTGAAAGCAACAGGAGACGAGTGTTTTTGTGCAGCCCGGAGCGGAGATAGTGTGTTGTCTAGGTGAGGCTCTGTGTTCCCAGCAGGTTGCACAACAAGTGACAGAGTCTCCTTGTTATTGGCTGAGGTGACGTCCTATAGCCGCACCTGTTTTCTTTCTGCCCATTTCAATGCCTAAAACAACCCGAAACTCAACCATTTACGTCCATTTAATGACGTGCAAACGGTGGGTTAATCATCTGTGCTATTAAGGGGACGGATAACATTTACCTCCACATAGGGCACCACTTTGCAGGTGAACTCCCCCAGCAGCCAGGACTTTGTCAGTTCATGAAAGACCACCATGGGCAGGCAGAAGAAGATGAGCACAAAGTCCCACACAGCCAAATTGGCCAGCAGTGAGTTGGAGATGCTCTTCATGTAATAGTTCTGGCACACGATGCACAAGATGGCAACGTTGCCGGCTATGCCAACCAGGAAGATAACCCCGGAGACGCACGTGATGGCGTACGCGCCGTAAGTCTCGCTCGTCACCGGGTAAAAGGGGTTCTTGATCTCGTCCCCGAAATCCTGCGAGCTGGGAGGGGTGATCGGCGTGGCGTCCCAGGGGTTCTCCTCCCTTAAAGTGAAGGACTCGGCCCTCCTGGTGAAGAGGTCAAAGGGCAGGTCGGTGGAAGTGAGGGCCACCGGCTTGGGGATGGGTTCCCACGGCGACGAGTGAGGCTGAGCCAAAACCCCGGAGCTTTTGTTCAGCCGGTTTCTCCCCCTCCGGGGGGCTTTCTTCTGCTCGTCTTTTGTGCCCCTCTTGTGTCTGTCGCCCTCCTCGGGTCCCCCCCCTGCGTCTCCCCGGCCCATTGAGGAGGGCTTAGCCGCATTGTAGTGTCCACCTGCTGGCGTCCCCGTACCACTAAGAGCGCCATTCAACTTCATCTTCTTATTGTGGTGGCGCGTCGCGTTGGGATCCTCCACGGGTGTCCCCGTCCTGCTGGAGTCGCGCTTGCTGTGTCCAATTCGCCTCGTTTCCGCAGCAACCACCCGCTTCCAGGGGTGCGTGGAGTTCAGGGCCCCCCGCGCGAACGCCCGTCGCGCCTGCAGCTCCGACGAGGACGCACCTGTGGCGTACCCCGGCGAGAGCGCGCGGTCCCAGGGCTTGACGCGGCTTGGGCGGCTCTCCCGTGGCGACCCGTGGAAAGTCCTCGCAGAGTGCGCGCCGGGGTTGCTGTCCTCTTTGGTTCGTACTTCTCCATTGTTTCTTAGGGATACTAATAAGTGTGCTTGGGCTAATAACAAAAATAACGCCCGAGGCGGCAGAATCTGCATGGTCCAGGAATGAGTCGAGCGCAGATTTGATCCTCAACAGCGCATCTTCGTACCTCTGTGGCAGCGCGGGGTGGGAGGGGGGGGGGGGGGTCCTCCTACGTTCAGTCAACACCCATGTTGAAAACACTGCTCCAAGGAAACATCTTCATTCGTTCGTTGAGCTCCGCGGAACTTGCAAGTTATATCCTAGAGCCTCGGCTCGCGTTTACGCAATAATCACCAAAACGAAAGAAAGAAAAAGAAAGGAGCGCAAATCGCCGCCTCGCTCCCAGCGGTCACTCCCGTCTCCAAAGTCTTCTTGACATCACCGAGCAGGACGGCGAATCCGAGTCCCGACCCAGAGAGGAACGGAGAAGCGAGTAGAGGCGGAGAGGATACTGCTGCATGTCCGCGCACGCAATCCGCACTTCGTCCAGTTTCCAGCTGTGGGTAATAGCGCCAAGAGAGTCTCTCTCTCTCTCTCCCCCTCTCTCTCCCTCTCTCTCTCTCTCTCTCTCTCTCTCTGAGCCAGTGCGTTGGTTCAGTGGGTTGGGTCGGCTGGAAGCAGCAGCAGCAGCGTCAATGCGGTGCAGTCCGGGTAAAGCCCCCGCCTCCCCTCGCCCCCCGCCCCCCCTAGGTTGCGATGCACGGGAGAGTAGAGAGAGACAGAGAGGGAGATCGCTTCCCTTTCTTTCCTCGTGCTTTCCTCCCATGCTTCCAGCGCCTCACCTCCTCTGCTCCCTTGGATAGGGACCGCGCGCTGCGGGAAAATGGACTCCCCTGGCGGCTAACCCCGATCTGTCACTCCCCATCCATCACGGAGCATCCAGCAGCCCCCCCCCGGGATACGTCTCCAGCCCCCCCATCCCCATCCCCTCCGGCAAAACAAGTCAGCCACGCCCAACAGACGTGCCAATAAATATATTCCCATGTTCTTTATTATTGCATCACCTTTAGACATATGCCACTTTATACCCCCTCCCCCTCCCCCCCACACCTAGTTTGAAAGCAAATGGGAATATAATCCTCAGTGAGTAACAGCTGGGATTGTTTTGAATCATATTCTGGGCCTCTCTGACAGGCCTGTAGCCTGAGGGCTGTACGCTTCATTGGGAGACTATATGAGCTATTATATACCTGCAGATTTGTAAAAGTGGTTTGAATCACCGAGCGGGAACATTCGCACGTTGGTCGAGGGATAATTATTGTAAAGTGAATTACACTGGAACTTTGACTGGACTGTGTGTCGGCCTCTCAGTATCTTATTTTCAGTTTGATATATAATATACAGCAGGAAGCAGGCGAACTGTCCACGTACAGCACGGCTTAATTCTGCTTGGAGCGTTTGTGCAGTGTACTCAGCACATATTAACATGTAAAGTAATGGCTAAGCCAATATGTTCAAAGTAAAGGCAATTATGAAGTGGCTCAAATATTAAATGGTAATATTAATGATTTGGTCAGATAGTTTGAGAACTGAATTCAAGCACGCGTCCACAGCTTTGTTAGATCAAAGACCACCTTCATCAGATTTAGTGTAATCATTTGGCAATAGTGATTAAATACACACACAAACTAACACAACCTATTAGGACGTGTATGTCCGCTAGCTCCGTCAATAATGCAAGAGACTAAAATGAAATGAGCACATCATTATTAAGTGCTCTCAGCACTTCAGACCACGTACTGCAGACGGTGGGCCAAACATACCAACGCACAATCGTGCACGGACACACACGCACACATATGCAAACATGCTATTTAGAAATGGAACTTCATGCACGTGTATGCAAATATACGGTTGAATAAACATACAGATACTTACATATTTGCCTGCATGTTTTGTCCCAAACACATGCAGGCATCTAACCGGTGACCTTCCACTTCAAATATCTGATTAGAGCCAATTCCAACCAGGCGGGCGGGCGGGTGGCCACACACTCATCTTCATCTGACCTGGATTCAATTTAAGAGAAAGAAGTTGTCTGTGTAAAGTTTGGATGAGGCCTGCGTGAGTACAATAATGCACACAGAGGGTGTGGCTGGAGAGTGAATGTTATTCACTTTTCGCATGGTTACTTTTTAATTATGGATACAGTTTATTCCCTCCCCTCCCATCCCGGCCAACCTCCTCGGTGCATGTTCGACATCCATCGGGATTCCCAGGTTAAATCCCTCAAATTACGCCGTCTCTGACCTTGGCAACACACCCATTGCAACTCACGCTACTACTTCCATCAGCTGGAAGGCACGGGGGAAACGCTCCACGTGTAATTATCACGGCGATTGAGTGCGCGGTCCGGGGAGACTTTGCCAGTCGGCGTGTGTGGGTGGAGATAAAAGAAGAGAGGTTCTCTCGCAGACGATTCAGACGCGGAGGGACATGAAGGGCACACGCCATGCGTGTACTCGCTCCAAGCTCCAATAAGGGGGTTGAGTGCACACACCAGGACGAGTGCACAGAGACACACACACACACACACACAGACACACAGACACTCACACAGTCTGGAGTTTAGTAGGGCATGCAGGCGGCAAGAAGAACATTCTAGCACCATAAAGATTTCATGGATTTCCCAGTATGCGGCCTGTGTGGAATATACATCACACACACACACACACACACACACAGACACACAAACAACACAGACAGCCGAGCCCAAAAACACAAGTCTACTGCTGCATGAAGGCTTCGACGAATTATAGAAGCAGTCAGTTGGATTAAAAATGATTACGGGGTGGGAAGCTCCAATTGGGTTTCCAACAGTTACTTTTGCCCGCGTAAACGATTTACATTTAAACCTCCCAGGGATTATAGTCGGTAAAAGTTATTTATCTAAACAAATCAATACAAAGGCGGAAATGGTATTAATCAGCTAGCCTGTAGCTGCAATTTGTAAATCCATGTGAGTGTGAAATCAGGAGGGGCGGCAGAGTCTTAAAAAATCTTAATTTCAAAGGCCTTTTAACTGTCGGTTTTCTGCTTCTCAATGAGGTTTCTAGATGTTTCTGTCGTTGGACTTATCCCTGTCCAATACCCATTCACTGTGAGGCGGTTATCCCACTGCTCACAATCTCATACAATGGGCTGTTGTTCTGAGAGACCCCCCCCCCCCCCCCAAACCCATTGTTGTCCTTAAAGATGAACCCATCATGAGGAATTATCTCCCAGTAATGTCAGCACATATTCGGGCAGGCTCTCGATGGTGATGCTTGGTTACCAGGCTGTTGCCACATGGTGAACATATGAGTCCATGTGGTTCAGCACACAGCATTTCACAGGCCGACGGCGCCGCCTGGTGCTTTCTAAAGGGGTTGCAGCAACACTGAAAGGATCTCCGTATCGTCGCCTGATCTCGCTCATATTTTAGAATAACACTAGAGGCTGATTCATCTTCTAATGAAATTAAACCTGAAATGACTTCTGTTGCCTTTCATGTAATCCTCTTTCTCTTACTCCTTTTATTACCTATTTTTATACCTTCCTCACATCTCTTGCACGTGCCTTTTTGGCAGAAGCACATTTTCCAAAATGTAGCCTCATGTCTTTTCCATCTGTTCGCGGCTCTAACTTCATCCTCTTTCAGCCTATTTGATTACTCTCGGGCTGCCCTTGAATCTCATCCACGCTGTGATTGAGAGCATAATTATTCCACCATTAAAGGGGAAAAGGTAATCTTATGCGGCTTTCAAAAAGAGATTTTACACAAAAAACGGGAGCAGAAGCAGATGTGCCTTTGAGAGGGATACGATAACAGTTAATTATCAAATCACCTTGCCACTGAACTTGAAATAACAGACAAAGTAGTGCCATGGAGACGCCTGACATTCAGTTAACAAACATGTGTTTACAGCGACATCCTTGAGGAGGTGTGAATATTATACTGGGTGGATATTGTACAGTATTAATTAATATAATGTTAAATTGGCTTTGTTGGGTATTTATTTCCTTCACGTCTGCATGTTTTCTGACATAATTGGATGCAAAACAAATCCATTTAGTTGGGGCAATACTTTTCAAATGACTGTTAAGTCTGGCCATGGATAAGGCTTCAACAATTCAAAGAATGATGCACAGCTGGTTAGCTTTTTTAGTTACTGGTCATCGGAGAAGTGACAGAAATATACAATTACTTTGTGAATCAGAAGGGAGTCGCCTTGGTACATTAGAGGGAGGATAAGGGAACAGAGTCCTCCATTATTGAAATCTCTCAAAGTTCAGGTGCAACGATCCTACGTAGAAATGGAAGAGGCCATTTGGAAAGAAGACAAGTGCACCTTTGATGAACAACAATGGGGGCTGTTGATGGAGCGCATTGTGCGTTTGCGGAGTGGCAGGTGTAACATGTGATGGCTTGTGAGAGTCTATTGTTTAGAGAATGATTAAAAATGGGCTGAGGAATGAATAAGGACTTTAAACAAAAATCTGTTCTGCTGAGAACTATTGAGACCTCGAAGGATTATCTTGATCATGTGACGGCGATGGATGGCATCGGAAGCGGAGCGGTAATCAACGATAAGTGGTCTGCTCTAGAGAGTCGAAGGGAATCAATGTGTTGCATTAGGGAACTTAGGAGGGAAGCCGCTGCATCATCGGGGCCCCTTTGGTTTTCATAGAGTCAACTGAATTATGGTGGAAACAACATTCAATCAGAAGTTCTTTCGGCAGAGATTTTCTCTTTATCATTTTCATCACTTCTCTACTTATATTGGAAGCTGTAAAAATACCACAGTCATGTATTTGGGGGTTCAGTAAATGGCTAAAACAGGGTGTAAAATTTGGGGCGATTACTTGGTAGAAATGGTATATAATATTTAGTTTTATTTAGATTTGCAGTGTACTTTTGAATGTTTTGGTGCAGATTATTATTACACTGCAGCGCACATCTTTTGTGCTGAATCTGTTGCAGCCAAGCTCCTGCAGCTACACACACACACACACACACACACACACACACACACACACACACACACACCGACTGAGCCAAAACGGCAGGTGGACAGAGAATGAGGAATAATCTTCTCTGATTTCCAAAGTGAAGTATGGATTTCAACATCTCCAAACTGTCAGATGTACACCATATATATATGTGGCTGAACCTACAGTAAATAGGTTACCTAGAGTATCTAATGACACATGCTGATGTTGTACAGCTGCATGAACTGTGCAGTCATCTGATGTCACTCTGGCTATGCATTCCAATATATTTTTGGAGGCATTGAAGGTTTTCATAGGTGACATTTCATTCACCTCCGGTCGCCAGGGCTCCATGGCACCCACCTGATGCTCTTCCTTTAGTCTTTCCATCCTCCCTGCTCCGCTCTGCCTGCCACTGAAAGAGCACAGCACGGTTTCTGTTAGAATTCAGTAGATCACAGATGGTTGGAGGTTTCCCACGTTGCCTTTTTCAAACACAGCAGGGATACCTTTTGGAGCTCAGGCAGGAAGCGGGTAAAGAAGGTAAACGGAAACCCCAAACACGTGCCCGTTTTTATCTTCATGTTATTTTTTCATGTTCGTCCCAGGATATCCTACGGTTGAGTGAAGTTTGTGTGCAGTGGGTGTGCATGTGTGTGTGTGTGCGTG